GGCCAAGGAAGTCTGTATTCCAAAACATGTAGGCAGAAAGGTTGCTGCTAAAAGGAAATTAAAGAAAATAGTGGGTTTTAACCCTTTAAGTGAAGATGTCTGTAAACTCAACTATGTGCTATGAACTAAGGTATTGTGCCATACCCCTCTTTAAATCTTGAGGAGTCCCTCGTGTGGCAAAGGCAACTTGAAACACAAAAATGGCAATTGCCTCATCTCAGATGCACAACTATGAGTCACTGTGTGTCTGTTATGGAGGCTTAATACTTATTCTTCCTTGTTTGCCTCAATATGAAGTGAGCTGGTTAGACTGGAAAAAAAGAAAACATGTTATGTCTTTCACATGTTCAGAGCAATAACATTTACCATTAAATCTCTAAAATACGTGGGGCTGCCCTCCAGCCTTCCACTTCCCTGCAACATTTCATAGTGCACAGTACGGTATGTTCCCAGACTTCCCTCCACCCACTCCCTTCAATCTGCTCCCTCTTCCATAATTAAAGCTAGAAACTCTTCGACGGATTGCAGAGTTTTGCTTTTCTAGTTCAGCTGTGATATATTACCAACACTTAAATCGTGGCTGGAAATTTTGCAAACATGTCGAGGTTTATCAGTGAAAAACTGCTTGTTGGGGGGGAAAAGGGTGGGTTTTGTGTCTCTGTGTATCTATGTGAGAAGGGCTTGGGCTGCAACAGCTTTGCAACTAGCATGAAGGTGCCTGGGAGCAGGATTTTGACTGAAGTTTCTCTCTAGACAGTTCTAAATCTTTCAGGCAACGGCTGTGAGAAAGAGGCAAGTCTTTGGCTTTTGTAAACAATCAATGAGCTGTAAGATCTCTTAGATCTGTTGTTTGAACTTGATGCTGTGGCTGATGCTGAGCTCTCAACTGTGTCTAGCACTAACTGTACAGCTCTCGCTGAAGATGGGCTTCTGTAGTACAATCCTGCTTTGAGAGGTAAATTTGGGATGTACCTGGCATCTTGCTACTGATCACATCTTACGTGGCATAGTGCCAGCTGACCCCATGCATCCCACCTCCTGTTTCACCCTCACCCAAGTACCCTGGTGTGGAGATATATCACTATATCACCTTGGTATGTGGTTTTTCTTCTGTAGCAGCATCATAGTGCAAGATTGCAGCCTGGCTTACTATTGTGAGGTGCTCACAGTGATGAATTTGGCTGGGTTTTTCCAGAAGACTGAACAGACGTGTGTAGTACAGCCTTCTTCCTAGTTTTCCTGCACTTGTTCTTGGCAGAAGGTTCGTAGGTAAATGAGATCAGACATCTTTACAGTGGTGTATCTGTGTGACTCTCCTGGCTGCAAGCCTTGTACCTTTGATGGAGATTATTACCCCAGTGACAGCAGATGGGAACACACTTTTGTGCCTCACTTATTGAAATTGTAGGGCCACCAGCTCACGCTCCTACTGATCACAAGTGTGCTGTGAGCTGGGGCTTCCCCCACACCCCATGTGTCCATTCAGCCTCCTGTGCTCTGGGAGCTGATCTCCAGCAGGAAGATGAAGCAGACAGCTGGGAATGATAATGTGCTAACCTGCTATGGCTATATCCCTTGGAGCCTGAGCTGCTAGATGACTAACTGGGCATTACAGAAAATGCATGGCCAGATGGGAAGCACCTGTCATAGGAGTTTTGCTGGGCTGGTACAACAGCCTCCGTCTTTTATTCTTCTCTCTTCCTCCCCCCATCTTGATAACTATCCTCTACTGGCTTTACTCTCATCTGAATCTGCTCTAAAAATCACATTGTTTCCATATGAGCATGAAAATCAGTGGTACAAGTGAATAGGAGCAGCAAGCAGGCAAGTTTTGCTTATGAGAGTCCACATCTCTAAGTTTTGCAGTGGTGAGAAGACTCTCCAAGTTGGTAAGCTTTGGGTGTTTCAAAATAACACTTTTTAGGAGCAGATATGCCACATAATTGAATAGAATGACATAGCTGCACGTGGGTAGGGTCATACAAGGACATACTGGTGCTAGAGGAGCTGGAAATTAGCACAAGGAAGAAACATATCTAGTAATTACCCAACACTCCTCACCTTCAAAGCTCTTAATAAAATTAAATCATTAGTCCTTATAACACTCAAGGTGATGAAAGGAGAGGGAAAGAATGAGGAACTGTTTGGGACCTCAGACTTTATGTATTCACTCAACATTTTCCCTTTAATGTCTATTTAAATGAATTAACCTGAATGCTCAAGGTTATATTTGACACTGGAATCTACTTATAAAGTACTGAGGAAGAAGCATCAGCTGAATTAGCAGCTCTCCAGTTGTGCATCTAGATTTCCCTGAGCACCTTCAGTTTAATGAGCTTCCCTTTTTGGCCTGCCTTTCCTGCATGCTGCTGCCATGTCCAGACATGGCTGGGAGAAGC